GTCAGCCGTCCAGCACAGTCAGCAGCCGCGCGCCCCTGCCACGTCAGCCGTCTGACCGGTCAAGAAGCCACGTCATCCTCGCCACGTCATCACCACGTCATCCGAAAATCTCCGTGGATCTGCCACGTCAGATTAGTGGGCCCCACATTGCCTACGTGTGTGACACGTCATCTTGCCACGTCAGCATAACTGGGTTTTGATCCGGTGTGGCGCAGAGACTATTCCTCCTGCCACGTGGCTTCATCTGCAGCGTCCAGTTATCTCAATTTTTGATTGTTTAAATCGGAGCCATCCGAAGTCCGATTTAGGTGATCTCAGTGTCGTTTCCAGCATTTTTGGCCATTCCGGACACATCTGTAAGGTCAGATTTTTGAGATTCAAATCCGAGAAAGAGTAAAAATGGCTGATGAAATAAAGGCTGCAGGAATTGAAAAATTTGATGGAACTGATTTTGGATATTGGAAAATGCAAATTGAAGATTATCTATATGGGAAGAAACTTCATCTTCCTCTGTTGGGGAGCAAGCCAGAAAACATGTCAGAAGAAGATTGGCAAATACTTGATAGACAAGTCTTGGGCATTATCCGGCTATCATTGTCAAGAAGAGTTGCTCATAATGTTACAAAAGAGAAATCCACAGCAAGATTGATGGAAGCCTTGTCTGGAATGTATGAGAAGCCATCAGCAAATAACAAAGTGCACTTGATGAAGAAGCTGTTCAACCTGAAGATGACAGAAAGCACCTCTGTTACACATCATCTTAATAATTTCAACACCATCACAAATCAATTGTCATCCGTTGAAATTGAGTTTGATGATGAGATCCGAGCACTTATTTTGCTAGCTTCACTTCCAAGCAGTTGGGAAGGTATGAGAACAGCCGTAAGCAACTCAGTTGGAAAATCCAAATTAAAGTATGATGATATCCGAGACCTGATTTTAGCTGAAGAAGTACGAAGAAAAGACTCGGGTGAAAGTTCAAGTTCAGGTTCAGCTTTCAATATCAACACTCGAGGAAGGAGACAAGACAGAGGCTTATCCAGAGGCAGATCAAAATCCAGGTACAGAAGCAAAAGCAAGTTTGGACCCAGGAAGCAGGTTGAATGTTGGAATTGTGGCAAACCTGGCCATTTTATGAGAAGTTGCACAAAACCAAAGAAACCTGAAGCTGATTCTGTAAATGCCACTACAAACGAGGTACAAGATGCTTTGATCCTTGCTGTACATAGTCCTATTGATGATTGGGTTCTTGATTCTGGAGCTTCATTTCACTGTACTCCACACCATGAAATGATGCAAAATTACACTGCTGGAAATTATGGGGTAGTCTATCTGGCCGATGGACAACCATTGGAGATTGTGGGTATAGGAGATGTGCAAATCAAGACAATGAATGGATCTACATGGAACTTGCAAAATGTAAGGCATGTTCCTGAACTAAAGAAGAAGTTGATCTCGGTCGGACAACTTGATGATAGTGGCCATTCAATCCTTTTCTCTGGAGGAATGTGGAAGGTATCAAAGGGAGCAATGGTTTTGGCTCGTGGAAAGAAAATCGGCACCCTGTATATGACCACAAGATCAGCAGATATAATTGCCTCTACTGAAGCAGATAATCAGGCACAGCTATGGCATTGCAGACTCGGCCATATGAGTCAAAAGGGGATGAAGATACTTCAGTCAAAGGGAAAGCTGCCAGAATTAAAAAATGTTGATCTAGACATTTGTGAAAGCTGTGTTCTCGGAAAACAGAAGAAGCTCAGTTTCTTAAAGGTTGGCAGGACCTTAAGACCAAGAAAACTAGAACTGGTGCACACAGATTTATGGGGACCAGCTCCAGTAGCATCTCTTGGTGGTTCTCGGTATTATGTCACTTTTATTGATGACTTTAGCAGAAAGGTATGGGTCTACTTTCTGAAAAATAAATCTGATGTGTTTGACACATTCAAGAAATGGAAGGCTATGGTTGAGACTGAATCAGGCTTGAAGCTGAAATGCTTACGATCTGATAATGGAGGAGAATACATTGATGGAGGTTTCAAGGAGTATTGCGCTGTCAACGGTATCAGAATGGAAAAGACAGTTCCAGGCACACCACAACAGAATGGTATTGCTGAACGGATGAACCGGACCATCAATGAACGAGCTAGAAGCATGAGGTTGCATTCTGGGCTACCTCAAACATTCTGGGCTGATGCAGTTCATACTGCAGTTTACTTGATCAACCGTGGACCATCAGTACCTTTGGAGTTCAGACTGCCCGAGGAAATCTGGAGAGGAAAAGAAGTACAGCTTGCTCACCTAAAAGTCTTTGGGTGTGTTTCCTATGTGCATGTAGACTCTGATGCTCGCAACAAGCTGGATGCCAAATCAAAGAAATGTTTCTTTATTGGCTATGGAGATGAAGAATTTGGATTTCGGTTCTGGGATGATCAGAACAGGAAGATTATCAGAAGCAGGAACGTGATCTTCAACGAGAAAGTTTTGTACAAAGACAAATCAAGTACAGAACTAGAGATAACTGATTCAGATACGAGTTCACAGAAATCTGAATTCATACAATTAGAAGGGCTTCCTGATGTTACCACTCAAGAGTCCACACAAGATAGTTCAAGCACTTCAGTACCCACCACTTCTACACAAGATAGTGCAGAGCCAAGTGAACCAGCTGTTCGCAGGTCTTCAAGGACTATAAAGCCTCCACAACGGTTCACACTTCTACTGAATTATATCTTGCTGACCGATGGTGGTGAACCATTAAATTATGAAGAATCCTTACAAGATAGAAACTCGAGTAAGTGGGAGTTAGCCATGAAGGATGAGATGGAGTCATTGCTGAAGAACAAGACTTGGGAGTTAACCAAACTGCCTGAAGGAAAGAAGGCCCTGCAAAACAAGTGGGTTTACAGAGTAAAGACCGAGCATGACGGAAGCAAACGGTTCAAAGCAAGACTTGTTGTAAAAGGGTTTCAGCAAAAGAAGGGGATCGACTATTCTGAGATATTTTCTCCAGTTGTGAAGCTTACAACAATCAGAGTTGTTCTGGGGATAGTAGCTGCAGAAAATTTACATCTTGAACAATTAGATGTAAAAACAGCATTTCTTCATGGAGAATTGGAGGAAGATATTTACATGCAACAACCAGAGGGGTTTGCAATACCAGGAAAGGAGAGTCAAGTTTGCAAACTAAAGAAGAGTCTATATGGTTTGAAGCAAGCTCCAAGACAGTGGTACAAGAAGTTTGATAACTTCATGAGTAGTACGGGATACACAAAATGTCAGGCTGATCATTGTTGCTATGTCAAACATTTTGACAACTCCTATATCATTCTACTGCTATATGTGGATGATATGTTAATTGCAGGTTCCAGCATGGAAGAGATTGACAAGCTAAAGCAACAGTTGTCAAAACAGTTTGAAATGAAGGATCTGGGAGCTGCTAAACAAATACTTGGCATGAGAATCATCAGAGACAAAGACAAAGGCATACTAAAGCTTTCACAGGCAGAGTATGTCAAGAAGGTTCTTAGCAGGTTTAGTATGGATAATGCTAAGCCAGTATGTACACCTCTGGGGAATCATTTCAAGCTCAGTAAAGACCAGTCACCAAAAACTGAGCTAGAACGTGGATACATGGACCAGATCCCATACGCCTCAGCTATCGGCTCCTTGATGTATGCCATGGTCTGTACTAGGCCAGATATTGCCCATGCAGTGGGAGTTGTAAGCCGATATATGAGCAATCCTGGAAAGCAGCATTGGGAGGCAGTGAAATGGATCATGAGGTACTTAAAAGGCTCATCGGAGACATGTCTTATTTTCACAGCTGGCGGTTTGAAACTTGAAGGCTTTGTAGATGCTGATCTAGCAGGAGATGTTGATAGCAGAAAGAGTACTACAGGTTATATATACACTCTAGGAGGCACTGCTGTTTCTTGGAGTTCTACCTTGCAAAAGATAGTTGCTCTTTCAACGACAGAAGCTGAATATGTCGCAGTTTCAGAATCCGCAAAAGAGATAGTATGGCTACAGAGTTTCCTGCAAGAATTGGGCAAGATGCATGGAAAGGGTACTTTGTATAGTGACAGTCAGAGTGCAATCTTCCTTGCCAAGAATCCAGCATTTCACTCCAGAACAAAGCACATACAGATCAAATATCACTTCATCAGGCAATTGCTCGACGATGAACAACTGTTACTTGAAAAGATCTGTGGAAGCAAGAATCCAGCCGACATGTTAACCAAAGGAGTTACTCTCGATAAACTGAAGCTGTGTAAAGCTTCAGTGGGTCTTGAAGATTAAAAGACAGACCTAACACCATTTGTGTCCAAGTGGGAGATTGTTATGTGTGTGGACACAAATGGACGGTGGCAGCCATGGTAGGGGGCAGCCATGTTTGGTGGCAGCCATGGTTGAAATTATAGTCAAATGGTAGGTGCCTAACTTGCCCACCATTGTTGAACAATCATCTCCCTCCTCAGCTATAAATAGAAGATGTATTGATAGCTGAGATGCACCACGAGATAGAGAGAAACACAGAGAGAGAGCTAAGGGTGAGAGTTGAGTTGAGTTGAGAAGTTTTCTCCTCCTCCTTGTTTTATTGTTTGTATTGCTTTTGAGCTTGATTAATACAAACCAGTAGCTCCGTGGAGTAGGCAAGTTGCCGAACCACGTAAATTCGTGTGTGTTTGAATGTTTGGATCTCCCAACAAGAAGAAGGTGATCTATTTGATGAATGTGATGTTAGAAGGCATCTAACTCTGCCCCAGACAAGGTTCAAGAGAGTGGCGATTGAAAGAAAAAACTGCTTGATGCTGTGAGTAATGTCCATGTTTGTATGAGTTGAGTTAAAGCTTTGAAGCAGGCATTCCAGAGCTTCTTAATATATATAGGAGACATGGTGGGCCACCACTAGTGACCATCTGCTGATGCTACGACGGGGGATTGGGAATAAAGGAATCGGACCACAATATTGGGAATAAAGGAATCGGACCACAGTCGGATATTTCTAATGAATCATGGTCATAGCTTGTTCGGGCTAAATAACTGCTCTCATTACTTTTATAGGTAAAGCAAAACGTGATCTAAAGTCTCTGTCTCAAGCATCTTCGGATCTTATTGCAAGAACAGTATGATGCTAACAAAATTTATGCGATGACAAGATTAACATCACGAAAATCTGACTTGTCTGAAGGAACATGTTGGAATCAAGGAAGAAAGATGGCCTAAAGAGGATTACACAAGTGCATGTGGTGGGTATGGGCCACACCTTCTAAACAATTACTTTCCCCTTTCGTAAGAGTTATCTAACCGAAGATGGACCTGTTCTTGGATTGTTAACTAGTAAAGAGGGGAGAAAGAGGACATGAAACTTGGGATTTCAGACTTCATAGTATCGATTCGATCCTAACTTCATATGAAGTGAACTCGGATCCAATACCTTGTTGGTGATTTCCGGCCCTTTCTACTTGGCAAAAGGCAATAGAGTCGTCGATTGGACGAAAAGGACACCAAAGCTTCACTTTCCACTTCGAAGATGATTGTTGAATTTCTTTTCGCTTGATGTGGAGATATATTCTCTGACAGTATCTATTTAGGTTAACATAATTTATTGTTCCGCAATAGCCTCCATCAAAGGAAGAAATCTAAGCATGCTTAATTTGCTTCCTTTCATTTTATTTATTTATGTTTTTTTTTTCTAATTATAGATTTCTTGTTAATACCAAATCACATTAGATGATGTAATATGGTTCATGAGACCATGAATGAATGCCAAGATCGCTTGTAAATGACGTTGCTACTGAATTGAAGTGAAATGGTAAAACAGAACATAATTACAGAGCTATTACTGTGAATGCCAAGATTTCTTGAGCTCGCACGCAAGCCCTTCTTAAATGAGCTTGGCACTGACTTGGCTTACCAGGTTCAGTAGTATTTGATTTTTTTTTTGTTTGTTTTTGATATTTTGCTTTTTTTTTTAAAATGAAATAAAGATGTTTCTATTATATTTTTTTAATTTATATTTAAATTAATATCCTTTTCTCTAATTTCTTCAGTAGTATTTGATTATTTTTTTTGTTTGTTTTTGATATTTTGCTTTTTTTTTAAATGAAATAAAGATGTTTCTATTATATTTTTAATTTATATTTAAATTAATACCCTTTTCTCTAATTTCTTATTTTTTATATTTAGCATTTTTTTAAATAGAGTTTGTGTTTTAATTATTTTTATGTATTTAATTTTTGAAGAGATTATTCTAATTATTCTATATTTTTTATATATTTTATGTAATTGAATTTTATATAAAAAATTATTTTTGAATAATATTTCTAATAAGTATAACTTTGCGAAATATTTTTTCCTTCTAATTTTTTTCAATTAATTTTATGGTAATGTTTATTTATACTACTATTTTATTAAATAAAAAATAAAATTTACAAAACAGAGTCATTCAATACAATTAGATAAATGAATCGTGTTGTGAGATCAAATATTTTAATGTACATACATCTCTTGATTTTTTCAAATACGTATTTAGCTATTATTAATAATTTATTTATTTATCGATCCTCATTGTAAAACCCAAACTTTTGACCCAAACCTAAACCTAAGTCAGCCCAAAACCAACCTAAGTTAACCTAGGTATTTAAAAAAGAGTTGTAAGAAAATTTCTTTTCTCTTTTTTAATTTATGTAGCCGCCGTGACCCTTCCCTTCTCAAACCAAAGAGTTTAATTTTTAATCTTGAGTTTCTGGTTTAAGAAATGTGAAAGTAACAAGTAAGTGGTTCTCTTTCATATTACTTTCTATTGTAGTTTATTTATGGAATGATTAAAGAAGAGATTATGGTTTATAAGGATTGAAAGTTTACATTGTTAAGATTGATTTATGATTATTAAAGGTTTAATGTTAGGTGATTAATTAGTATGTTGTTGCAAATAAGGATTCATGAGTTGATTTGTTTAAATTAATTTTTATGGGTTAAGAAATTTAATTTTACCTTGCTGTAAAATCTAAACAGAATGGTCTTGAGGTTGAAGATGACTAGATTTTATTTTGGTCCTTGATTTATGATAATCACAGTTTAGTCCCTAAATTTTGGGAAATTATAATTTGACCCCTAAATATATTTTAAGATTCTAGACAGTGTAATTATGAGATTAAGGATGATAAATCTCAGTTTGATAATTGATATGGAATATTTTCAATTTGGTCCCTTAATTTTGAGAATTTACATTTTAGTCCCTTAACTTTATAAAAATTTCAATTCAGTCCCTGTTTCGTTGTAGATAGAATTTAGAATGGTTTATGGGTGAAAATCCAGTATGGTTATGTATTTCCAGATTGGTCCTCCAATTTTGATAAAATTACGTTTTGGTCCCTGTTTTGGAAAATTATCTTTTTAGTCCATAAACTTAGGAGACTAAACCTGATTTTATTTTATGCATTAGGATCTTCCCTCAATTTTGAGAATTTACATTTTAGTCCTTGAACTTTATGAAAACTTCAATTCAGTCCCTGTTTCATTCTAGATAGAATTTAGGATGGTTTATGGGTGAAAATCCAGTATGGTTATATATTTCCAAATTGGTCCTCCAATTTTGATAAAATTACGTTTTGGTCCCTGTTTTGGAAAATTATCTTTTTAGTCCATAAACTTAGGAGACTAAACCTGGTTTTATTTTATGCATTGGGATCTTTTGCTTTGTTTTGAGTTACTTTTGAGTATATTTCATATGTTTATTGTAGGTTCTTCTAATGATTCTTAATAAGTTTTTCGGCTCTTTCATATGATATTTCTTTTAATTTATATTCTGTCGAGTTAAATTCTATTTGATATAATATTTGTTTCTTTGATGATTCTGTAAATATTTATTATGCCTTGATATAGAACTTGTCAGTAACTCCATGCTAACGAAGAGTAGTTAGCCTTTGTGTATATAGTATTTTGTATACCTAGCTGACGAGAGAGACATCAGCCTGTGGCAACTGATCATTCTATAGTGGTCACCTTCGGGTGTCATTTGGTCACTTTTGAGTGTCATCTGGTCATCCTTGGGTGTCATTTGGTTATCTTCGGGTGTCATCTGATCTCTAACATGTATTCCACTACGTTATATATATTTGTCAGTAACTCCATACTAACGGAGAGTAATTAGCCTTTGTGTATATAATATTCTATATACTTAGTTGACGAGAGAGACATCAGCCTATGACGACTGATCATCCTACAGTGGTCACTTTCGGGTTTCATTTGGTCACTTTTGAGTGTCATTTGGTCACCCTTGGATGTCATTTGGTTATCTTCGAATTATTTCAGGTTTTTAGTTTTTGTTAGCAGGTGAACTTTGTTGAGTATTCCTGTTTCTTTAGTTGTGGTCGGTATGCCTTGTTTATTTTGTGAGACTTTCCTTTTAGTTTTGATTTCACTGAGTTGGTTGAACTCACCCCTCATTCTTAATATTATTTCAGGTTTTTAGTTTTTGTTAGCAAGTGGACTTTGTTGAGTGTTTCTGCTTCTTCAGTTTTGGTCGGTATGCCTTGCTTATTTTATGAGGTTTTTTTTCATCAGTTTTGAATAATATAATATTTCTGAAGATTATGAAATACTGCGTATTTTTGAATAAATTATTCTTTTAATATGTCTGTTCTAAGGCTTAGCATAAGTGTGGTGTTTTTTCGACATTGCTCCTGCGTTGCCGGTCACGGACCCGAGATTCGGATCGTGACGCTCATAGTTCTTGATTTATTTAATTAAATACATGCACAAATTATCTTTTGGGTTCATCAGTTTTGAATAATGTAATATTTCTGAAGAGTATGAAATGCTGTGTATTTTTGAATAAATTGTTCTTTTGATACGTTTGTTCTAAGGCTTAGCGTAGGTATGATATTTTTTCGACATCGCTCCTGCGTTGCCGGTTACGGACCCGAGATTCGAGTCGTGACACTCATAGTTCTTAATATATTTAATTAAATACATGCACAAAATTTTTAATTTACAACTGATATTTTTTAAATAAAAAACATATTGAAAAAACCTATATATTCAGGAGTATGAAATGCTGTGTATTTTTGAATAAATTGTTCTTTTGATACGTTTGTTCTAAGGCTTAGCGTAGGTATGATATTTTTTCGACATCGCTCCTGCGTTGCCGGTTACGGACCCGAGATTCGAGTCGTGACACTCATAGTTCTTAATATATTTAATTAAATACATGCACAAAATTTTTAATTTACAACTGATATTTTTTAAATAAAAAACATATTGGGAAAACCTATATATTCAGTTTTTTTTTTTTTTATGAAAAAAAAAATATT